ACAACTGACAATAACATGGGAGCAACTGACAATAACCATGGTATAACTGACAATTACATGGTACAACTGACAATAACATGGGAGCAACTGACAATAACCTGGGTATAACTGACAATTACATGGGTACAACTGACAATATTTACATTGTACAACTGACAAATGTAGGGTGAAACTGACAATTAGACGGGTGCATCATTTTTGGTGAATTTAAATTGTAAATAAAATTATTAAAAATATCGTGTTGTGAAATTTCTTGCAGAAAAAACATGAGGAAATTGAGAAAAGGTTGCTGCTTTCGTGTCTGTTATTTATTGGTACTTTTGCTGCTGAGTCATCGTTAATAGATCAAATGACTACTCACAAAGGATTCTGGGAAGGTTGCGTTAAAATCCTAGTATGTAAATTTTAAAAGTCTAAAACATGTATGATGCATTATAAATCTATTCATGGTGCATAGATTTATAATATAATCAATCAAACTTGATACATACATTTAACATAATGAGACCTTGAAGTACATCTTTTTTTTTTTTTTTTTTTTGAAATTGGCTGACTGACGGCCATTTTGTTTTAATGAATGCAGTTCTAGAGCCATATCTCTGACATGCTTTAATTCTGTTCAAATTTCATATGATAACCGACTACCTGTGAACACCGACTGGTTTCATTGGTCCTGTAAAACACATATAGACTTCTTTGTTAAAAATCCTGGCCAGACTGACCCCTGTGTACTTCTACTATTATTTCAATTCTTGTGTACAATTATTACCTAAAACAAAAAAAATCCCTATAAATAATGAAACCAGAACAGAGACAAAAATTATTCTGCATACGGCAGCCGATCATTAAAATCTAACTTATTCACTTATTCACTACGATTTATCGCTATACAGCATTACGTTATTGCCATGACTTAACCACAACAGAAACGCTGGAGAACAGAGCTTATCCTCGCTGACAAAGTGAAACTCATCAAGGAAGCACAGTCGTCAAAATTAACTCGACACCAACTAGGTCAAAATATGGCATCGGCAAAATGACTGCTACTGACATCATAAGAAAGAAAGCTGACTACCTGAGACAGTACGAAGAAAATGATGATGGTTCCCATCGACGCATCATAACAACGTCCAAATTTGAAGAAATTAACATCATGTTGTGGACATGGTTTCAACAGGCAAGGGCAGTGAAATTTTTTTTATACTGTTTATAGACAATGCTATATCTCATGGTCTGGACAATAGACTTTCACGCATTAAAACCAAGTTCTTTCCCGCAAATACAACATCGGTGTCACTGCCATTGGATCAAAGAGTTATTGTGCATTCAAAGCCAGATATCGAAAGAGACTGTTACCTTCAGTAATTGCTAAAATTGGCACAGCCGAGAGTGCTAGCAAAGTTGCGAAATCTGTCAATGTGTTAGACGCTGTTTACTGGATTAATGCGGCATGGAGTGAAACCAACAAAGAAACCATCAAAAATTGTTTCGCTAAGGGTGGATTTAATGCTGATATTGCTGAAACTGATGACAATGAGGGACAGGAGGACAAGAAATTACAAATTTGTTCTGGGGCCCTGTGTAGCGTGGAGCAGTATGTCAACTTTGACGACAACATACTCACTGACGATATGTACAGTGGCAATTGGGAACAGGAACACAAGACAGAAGAAGACAGCGGAGATTGTGATGATACAAATATCGATTGTGATAACATTGAGAACACAGACTCCAACAATGGCAGTGAAATGGCACATGAAGATGTAATATCCATGTTGACAAAATTACATCACTTTGCACTGAGTAAGGACTCATTATTTACCCGCGTTCAGAACTTAAAATCAATCACCAAAGCAGTAACTCTACAAAAACGCTGTGCTAAAAAGCAGTCAACATTGGACAAGTTTTTCATGAGATAATAGACTGGCATTTTATTTCCAATATCCTGTTATCAATTTCCTAAAACTTTGTTTTGGCTTCATCAAAATTCAACATAAATTATGCTAATTAAACAAACAGGTCATTTATTCTAGTCCTTTGAAACAACAAAAATGACGTACCTTTTGTTTCGTTATGCATTGTACACTAGTGTTGTTCTTTATTTATAACACCTTGTGTACTTATGTGTATTTTTTTATCCATGTAAATAAATTGTATTCATAATAAATGCGATTGTATGACATGCATATAAAGTGAGTGACTCCTATTATTGTTTATTATTGATTTTTTTGCGACCACGTCCACCCTGATAAAACCAACTCCCTTTGAAAACCGACCAAAAACATTGGTCTCATAGATATACAGATTAATTGGTTAGATGATTCAATTCAAAATGGTCGACTGGTGGCCATTTTGTTTTAATTAATGCTGTTCCAGAGAAATATTAGTCAGTATTTAAAAGTACTTGTTTGACAATCAGATACAAGATGACTAGATGTCAATCATTTTAATGTTAAAAAGTCATCATAATCAAGCATCAGCTTCTGGATCCATATGTTTATGTTTCAACTATATTACTATAAACAAAACTATATATCTTAAATTTGATAACTGACGAAGACTGTTTTTTGGCTTGTTGTTTTTTTTCAATTTGTTGATCTATAATGGCCATTTTTGTTCAGGAAAACACCTTATCAACATGGCATCAACTATTTTGACCAATTTCACTCGTGTTTATTTTATGACTTGATAAACACC